TTGTATGCCCATATATAGTCATGATGTGCCTATATATGGTCATGATGTGATGTCATCATGACCATATTTAGGCATGTCACTTGTTTTTGTCCAATGAAATTTGATAGTCTGCGCAGGGCTTCAGGCTGCTATTTTTCAGCCGCTCCATTCTCGTGCAGTTGTCATTCCTTTACACTCTTTGTTATCTTTTTGATGTTTTTCGTTTTAGATTGCTCATCCTGAGCGAGTGCAAGCCCTGGTGCTATTGGAATGCACTGCTACCTCTGCAAGCTTCACTGAATGGGGACATGAGAAGGTTTGTCTTTTGAATATGAATACATATAAAGGCATACCATCCCAAAACTAGCATATTGTCACTAAATTGTTAACTAAGTAATTAGCATAAGAATGTGGCATTATTGTATACTTTTGTACAGGAAGCCATAATATTTTTACTCACAGCTTTGGCAACAGGCAGTTGATTTCAGTAAATGACCCATCACTTTATAAAGCTTACAAGATGTAGAATAAGAATAAATTAAAAAGTCGGCGGGACACTCATTTCCAGTACCCGTCCCTAAATCCTCTCCTGATTTACTATCTTAAGGGGTTTTATGATAGTTTTTTTTACTAGATATTTCATTATGGTTTCATTTGCATGGAGTAAATACTGTTAGTCACCCCAGACGTACCTCCATTCGACCAGCTTGCAGGCTACAGATTCCCTCCAGAAGACTTACCGACAACAGGATCAATGAAGCCTGAGCAAGCTCCGACAGATAATGATGATGAAATGGATATTATATACTGTTTGATATATAAAAATATTACATATTGGTTATAGGTTGCCGCTTGGAATATGGACAAAGGAATGAATCCAAAGGTCGAGAATTACATCTTATGGCATCATCTAGGCAATGTAAGTAACAGGCTTAAAATGTCTGAAATGTTTTCATCGGATTCAGTCAACTATGAAAATGACTAATTCGAGATCTCGTTAGTCAACGTATGTTCAATAAAATGGGAGGTGGGGGAGTGGTGCTATTTTGTAGCCAAAAATATAGAGGCCGACAAACACCTATTGAAATGCAAAAACTTTGCAGTCCAGAATGACTATGCAATTGAGTTCATACATAGATTACCTATGTTTGTGCCCACATGTGGTATTGTTTACTTGAGCGTTACCCGTACCACCGCAAAAAGGTAATCTATTTACTATCTATCAATATGAATATGATTGGCCTAATATAATGACACTGTATGTTTTATTTGAGAAGAATTTGCCATGTGCTACTGAATTGGCATGAATAAGGTGATTGATTGATTGATTGATTGAATAATTTATTGGATTGGGTACAGTATAATTAGTACTATTAATAAGTCTATAAAATGCAATTTATTGTAGTTATTGTAAAATAAATGATTTTTCTGTATATGTAAACTATATATTAAACTTCTGAAGTGTATTTTATTGTTTTTCTCTGCTTTCTATAAATCCCTGGCAGGTAGCCAGGATCACTGGCATGTAGCACACAGAATGTCAGGGTTCAAAAGGCTAACATTTTCATGCACCTATATAGTATATTTTTTTGTACATCAATAATGCGTATTGTTTTTTTTTTGTTCTTGCAGCATTCAAAGGACAAGTTAGATGTTGTACAGGAGTACCATGAGAACCTCTACAAGAGAATCAATTCCAGAAATCTTCATCTCTTCATCGATAGCTTTATCAAGTAAGCGCTTGCGATTATTATTATTTTCATTGTCCATTTCTCACTTGTAAGAAACCATGACACGTTCTATTTGCCGACATTATTAAGGTTATTACTCTGAATAAATTTACTTCAAGTTGCATCAAGTAGATTAAAAAATTCAACGTTGGTTGTTACCATTAATATTATTAGCCGGAGCAGTGTAATCGAGAATTAGTCTGATTCACTCAGCCAAGTGGAAGTGAATAGGCTGGTGGATAAGGTGCTTGCCTTCTAGTCCCAGGGTCCTGGGTTCAATTCTCACGACCAAAACAATTCCACTCCCAAAATCTCATATTGACATTGAGTTTGTGTAAAGCATCGTGTGTATATGTTTGTCTTGTGCAAGAGATTGTCACATACAAGTACAACAGTTATATGTTTGCTATTGACAATCCTTGGTAAATGTGTTGTGATAAATAGATAAAATTAAAGTAAAAATTAGGCCTCGTTTGTTACATGTTATAATTATTATATTATGTTAAATTAATCCAAATTATTTATATACTATAGTACCAGTTGCAATAACTTTGCTTAAATATTCAAAACTTGCTTTCATGTAACCCTCAGTTTGACATGAAAATATGAAACAAATTGCAAAGAAAGTGATGTAAGCCCTCTTGATTCTATATATCCAAATTAATTGTTTACATTATTATAAATAAATATTTACAGAATATCACGTACAATTTTTAGCGGATTACCAATGTATGTGAAGAATAACCAATCATATTGCAGAGATTTTAACCAATCATATTGAAAGTTTCATGTTAATATTAAAGATGTATTGTCCCATGCTAAATATAAAAAAAATAATTAAAATATTTTTGAAATTAACTTGCACATTTTGAAGTAACATAAAAGTTATCAACTTGAATATAGAAATTAGTGTTTTTAAAAAATGTCTACCCATCAGTTTACAGCAAAAAACGATAGAAACACTTCCTCACTGGTGGTGTTTTATTATTTTTAATATAATTAAAATTAGGGTACACATTTTTTTAATTCAATAATTTCTATGCACAAGTTAATAATTTGCAAAATGAGCAAGTTTATTTCAAACTTATTTTTTTTATTTTTTTCACATTAGCAAGGGACAATACATCTTTAAGAAGGCTATATGAAAATTGATTTTATTATTAAATGAAAAGGTGCTATTTAAGTTGTTATTATAAAAATCAAAGATGCCTACATGAATAATGATATATCATATATCATTTATTTCACCAGTAAAACTATAAAAATATGGCTGACCTGCCAGATTGCCAGAAAGCAACACAAATTTACTGTCACATGCCTCTCCTGGCAGCATATACAGTACAAAAAAAACATAATACATGCAAGAATAAATAATGATAAATATAAACATCCCTTTTAAAAATTTCTATTAAAAATGTAAAAATTAAACTTTTAATGCTTTAATTTATGATGAGAGTGTGCGTTTCATGTTTTATTTTTTCTGTTTTATTCTCCTTCATTAAAAAATTATTTTGTTCCTGCAGTCGTAATAACATCATTGATAAGTTGGATGGTTTGAAGTTACCGATGCTACTAGTCACCGGCAGCCGCTCACCTCATCTTAAAGATGTTGTAAGTGTGAACATAGAGTACTACAGTCGGTGCCAGGTGGCACCCTCTCTTGTCAACCAGACATTGGTTACTATTCATTACACCTGAATGACTTCATAGGCTTTCTGGAATAGGCATTTTAAAATCTAATATTTTTCCATCAAAATGTACTAAAAACACAAAAGCTCGCATTATATTAGTTATCAAACACACATTTCATTATCAATAAAAATTAAAGAAAAATTAAGATATAACATCTTATAATTACGTTGCAATTTGGGATCAGTGGTTTGTCAGTAGAGACAATGATTCCAGTTGAACGCATTTTATGTCGCCGATAGCAACGGAGTAGTACCACATGGTATCGTGACGTAACACTGTAGTACTCTATAATATTATTAATCAATTATTTATTTAAACTATATTTTGTGAGTTTCCATTTATTAATTGGTTGATTGATTGATTTATTTAAATGTTTTTATATATTTTATGTTTTAGCTGAGCATTTAGCCAAGGGAATGTTTAGCCAAGTGAATCCAGATTTTTAGCTTAGTTAGATTTTTAGAGTTGGGCAGAATAAGAAGATGTATCCATTACATTACGTTTGTACTGGACTGTGGCAGGAGAGGGTCCCCAGGGGTCTAGCCCAAATCTCGAACTGCAACATATTTAATTTGAAATAGGACAAACATAAAAAATTATTTAACTTCCATTAGTATTATTGAATATTTACTTGGAAATTAACTGTGGTGTACCGCAAGCATTTATTATATTATTTCTTCGCCATGCAAACCTTCAAACAGTATATTTGGAAATTGATATGATTTATCTACTGGTACAATGAGTATTTAATCCATTTGGAATCAATTATCAATTTTCAGGACAAAATGTGGAGCCACGTGCATGACAAGAGGCTTAGCAACTTACTGAAGGCAGAAGATGTTGCCGGGGACATAAAAGAGGAAGATGTAAGTTTAAAGATCCTTCAGGATAGCCTAAATATTTATGGGGTTGTCTGGTGCCGTATATGACTACATACAAACAATATTCACCTTCAAATTGCTAAGAGAGTAATTGGAATGGAAAATAAGTTTCCAGGTCTGTAGTTTAAATTTATAGCAATCCTATCAGACACAAATCATTCCCTTCATCAATATATTAAAATTAGCAGAATAATTTGCATAACATATCCACAATGGAACCTGAATTAGAAAATCCTTTTTTTCTATGTGCCATGATTGAATTTAATGAAATATGTAAGAGGTAAATTTTATTGATCCTTTCTAACAACTACACCAAATTCTTGCTTTATTGAAACTGATGTTGATGCTTTAATGTTGGAATAATAAATAAAATCAAAACATGCCTGTGATACTGCTTTTTATATTTGTTGTTAAACTCACATTTTTTGGTTGGTCCAGCTTTAAACAATGTATCCTTCTATGGTTGGTAATGAGCACTATCCTGATAAATGGCTATGATATGATGATTCCCCTGAAAATCAGCTTTGCTGAGTTGGATATTAATAAAGAAAGAAAGGAAGATACAGTGCATTGCTCCAGTTTTATATATGGCAAAGACAAGTCAAACCAGTCGCTCCTTGCAAAAATTATACAGAGTGTTATACAGTAAAATAAGAGCTATAAAATGGTAAAAGAATAATTTAAATCTGACATTTCCTTATGAAATTACAAGCTTTTAAACATTCAGCTATTTAAAGACGATAATTTATACATAATTAATACATTTCGTTAGGAAGTTACAGGAGTTTAAACATACAGCTGTTTAAAGAACAATATTTGAGAAGTCAGCCTTCAAAATTTATGATTTTGGGCAGTTCTTAGGCAGAAACCATCACCAAATTGTTAAAAAATTCTTGTTTTACCATTCAAAATGGGGAAAATAAGAGCATAGCATGATGTATAGAATATATAAAGGTTAGTTTAGTGCAGTAAAATAGATTTCAAAAATGTTGACATTCCAGCATGTTTTGGCCATTATCTCTGAAACACGATTTGGTTTGAATTGTCTGTGCCACGTATATTGACTGGCGTAAGGCTTGCAACACTAACCATTAGATTAATCATTATCTTCTGTATCTCATCTTTTCCTGTTTTTTATAGCCAAGGAAGTTGATAGAGAGTATGACTTATTTCTTGCAAGGCCTCGGATTGAGTGAGTACACGTCGCGTTATCTATCTCATCCACATCATTCATTCCATCTCTTTACATCCTCCATTCAAGTTTACCATTATATTCTCTCATATTCCATCACAATTACTGCATGTTATTCCAACCTAACCATTCTCAATTGATTGTTTTGAGGAAATTTGCAATCCCTAAATTAATCAAATTAAACATTATAGTTGTTTCAATTAAATTTTGTATATATTATAATCCCCATGATATCTACACTTTAACTATACAGTGCCTTAAATTGTTCATTGAATTATTCAATATCACAAGAAAAAGATATTGTGTCCTAATAGGAAAATCCAATCCAGAATATCACCCTAGAGTCATTGCTCAATTGGTAGAACATTTGAACAGTATTCTTAAGCTGTGACATAAAAAATCTGTTGTATGACAATATATAGTCGTGATGTGCCTATATATGGTCATGATGTGATGTCATCATGACCATATTCAGGCATGTTGCTTGTTTTTGTCAAATAAAATTTGATAGGCAGGAAAGGGCTTTAGGTTGGAATAGATGATACAGTACCTGTTTAAAAAAAAAAACGTTTATTACCATCATAGTTTAAATCCAACTGATTCCTTTAATTTCAACCTAACAAGTCAACACCTTACATCAGTAAGAAGGAAGAGAATTTGTCATTTAGATTAGAAGAAGGGATGTAGTGGGCACCTACCTAGCCTACATATCACTACATTTATCACCATAGATAATGAAACTGACTTCATTTCAACTTAACAATCAAACATTTTACATGAACCAATAAGAAGCTTGTCATTCATTCAGAAGGCGACCTGTAGTAGGCCTAGTCATGCTGGTAGGGGTAATAATAGGCCTACACTTAGCCTACCTACCACCGCAGACTTTTTCAAGAAACATGTGCATGGAAACAAATCAAGCAGATACTGAGAATAATGGGTTTGATTTTCAGGCTTCAAAAATGTGTTTGCTGCCCTCAACTTTCATAAGCACTTATAGATTAAACCATATATTTTGTGATAAAGATAATTGAGGCAGATACTAATCCAGTAATCTTCTATTTCCTCCTTGCAATCTTCTATTCCTGGTTGGTACGTACTGAATGGTCGTGTTCTATAAATTCTGTTAATTTTCGTTCTGATTTATCTAACTCATGTTGTGAAACATCTGCGTGCTGTTTTCGCATTTGGATTTTAATCATCTTTTCATAACACATATTCATTGTCATTGATGTTGAATATGCAAATTTCTGTTCATCTACTTTGCACTAATTTTCTTTAAACTTATCTACACTTTCACCTGTTGTAACTACATAATATTTTGATGTGCTGATATTTTTGATTTTTTAAAACTTTTTCTAAAAAATTGTTTATTAATGATAACCAATCATTTCATCATTAACCCGCCTCAAAATAAAAAAACGTTTAGTTTCTGGAGTTTCTATGACTCGTCTTGGACGCTCTGCCTCCCTGGGAGAGACTTCCCGTAGGATGGCTAGCCTAGAGACCATGGAAGACCAGGATAAGCCACGCCCTCACCTAGTGCGAGGCACTTCCCAAGGTGGACATGAGAACTCGTTGTGCTAAGCCTCAAATTGATCCGCCCCTTTTTGCATAAAATTTGGGCACTCTTCGATTCCAGTTACAGATGTAATTAATTGTTGAGTGTTTGGGAAATAGTTTTGTGGTTATTTTGTAGGAGTTCAATATTTACCGTTTGAGAAATTGAGAGTACGATATGGAACTACTGTATCTATAATTAGTACTATAAACCAAAAATAGGACTTGTAGAAAAAAACTAGACCTTGACAAGTTACTTGTATGTAATTCTATTTCATTTTATTTTCTATTAATGAATAAAAACCAAAAAGAGAAAAAATGTACTATTAACTCCCGCATTCATACCTATATCTGTGCACACACATTTGCACTCGCCCCACACTTTTAGTTAACGAATACACTATAGAAATAAAATGGTGTGTAGAAACATGAAAAATTACCACATTGTTAACTTTTTAAATTATATTTCACTCTTTATACATTTACATTTGTATATTGTTCAACGTAGTTGATAATATTTGTTTATTTAATTAACATTCGTTATATTTTTGCATGCGCTAGCCTATATAGGTTAGATATTATACTTTTGATAAATGTTGTGATATTTAGTTTAAAGCATGTAATTATTTTGTATGTCCACCAGTCTCCTCCCTACCTCTAACACGCCTCGGCCACTCTGCTTCCCTCGGGGAAACATCTAAGGAACATCGTGGATTGAGCATGTCGGACATGGACAAACCAACGCACAGTACAAGCACCGAGAAAGAGTAAACGCGAGATCTCTGACGTATCTGAGCTTTATGGCGAGAGTATGCTGATAAACACTAGACGGTTATTTTCTGAATGTTTAAATGAACTGAATATAAAATAATGTACCTTTATTTTTTATTGATTATGAAAATTGTATCTTTCTGATTGTGTTTTATCTTTTTGTTGTACATGTAATAATTAATAATTGAAATAAGATGCTTCTTTAAAAGATAGCCTCAATTGAACTTGATCATCTGTGCTATATATATAATTCAATATTGAATACAGGGCCAGTTTTATGAAATTTCCTATTGATTTTCCATCATTGCAAATTATTGTTTGTAATTGTGCATCAGTTATTGTAATATATTTTTTTTTTCCAGTTAGTATTAGTTTATAGACTGTATTGTTTTATGTACTCATGATACAATTGTAATAATTTACATCATATTTCATGAATGTAGTTTTTTGTTTTGATGTCAATTTATTTTATTATGTTTCCTGGTCAAAATTTTTCAGTTATTTTTTTTTTTTTATAGCATTTTGCATTTAGCACAGTGAGCTATATAAATTAATCCACTGTCTTTCTAATGATGTTTTCAATCCCACTTGTATTCAAAGAATTGTTATTTCAGTTAAACAAGACAGAGGGTCAGGTAAAATCAATAAAGACAAAAAACTACAGTATATCATATATCTCGAAGGAACCAAAGAATATATTCAAATTCTGATAATTCCAACATGAAAATTGGTAACATTAGGTTGCTAGGTAAATGTATTGTTTCTAAGCAAAAATTACATCATAAATATTCATAAGCATGTATGGTGTAAGGATTCATATTAGGCTATGTTTATTGTGGATGTGAAAAGTAAGCATGGCGATATTGAGGCTCGATGCAGAATCCAGTGATTGAACTGTTATTAATTTTTGATGGCAACATTGCTTGTCATGGGATTATTACTCATTCAGATTAATAATAAATCACTATTTTCAAAATGCACTTTAGTTTTCAATCTTGTTCATAATGATGACGATGACAATGATCATGACAACAATGATGATGACACAAATAAATGAGTTCGAGAGCTATCACTGTAACTTAACACAGAGTGTGTGCTTGTATTAATATAATATTTCACAGATTTTTACCAATCTGTTTATATATGATTATTTATATACTGTGTTACTATCTCTCTTACATCCAAAAGATGCGTCCATTAGAAGAAATGACAATAGAAAGCTTCAAACATCAGTCTACATGTTTGAAGATCTGCTGGTTTCCTTAAGCCAGGCCCTCACTGCCTCCAACGATTTTTGGGCGAAGTGTTTCTAAAATGCAAACCAACGACCCATGTTTTAAAGGCGATCCACGCAGACAGTGCTGTGTCGTCTAGCGCTCTAAGGGCAGAGTTGAATTCTTTGTATGACAGTCTTACAATGCAATGAGAGCTCGGCATTAACTTAAGGTCAATGATTATATTGGTGAATTCTATTGTGCAAATTACAAAGGCATTGTCATCTGAATTATAATAGTCATAACAATTTCCCATATATTATATAATACTATAATTTATAGTTGATAATAATTTTCCCAAATTATGTCATAATTTCCCATATATTATATAATTAATCATAAATGATAATAATATATTGTTATATTTTTCCCAAATTGTAAGTCATAACAATTTCCAATATATTATATAATTAATTAATTATAATATATAGTTGATAATAATTTCTCCAAATTATAAGTCATAACAATTCCCAATATATTATATAATAAATAATAATAATACATAGTTGATAATAGTTTTCTACAATTATACTTGTTAAACCACTACTAACAATAAGCACAGATATTGAAGTGTCTTCTTGCTCTCATCTGTTGCTTAATAAGAGGTCAACAGCTTGGGCGAGGTTGTCCACGTACCCAGCTGGTTTCACTTCAGGGTGTGGTTCATCTGACGGTCTGCGAAATTAATTATTGCAAACTATTGTTAAAGCCTTCAAGAGAGTTTTAAGTGGCTGCCTTAAAATAATATTTGGTTATCCCACACTAAACACAGTGCATGCCTTATAAAATCTGGTAGAAATGCCTACCAACTGCTATTTGGATATTATCAGCATGTTACATCGCAATGTTGTATGTTCATTTTATTGGTCTTATACACTAATGATTACAATGAATGAAAACAGGCTCCTGATACCTATAAGAGTATACTGCAGAAACTAGGTCAAAATTACTCTAAACATTGTCCATTATCAGGCCATTTTCCTCCATTATCAGACAAGCTGCTATCAGCCATTGGTCATCTGTCAAATTGTAGGACCAATTACCAAATCACTTATAGGTTGGATGGGTACAGTAGTATGAATGCGAACTTGTGATGAACCTCAATCCATTCCATTCTACAAAGGGATTCCAACACCACAGCGCAAGTGCAGTATACTAAATACAGTACTACTAATATACTCAAATATAAGATATAAAGCACCGTTTGCACAGAATAACACACTGAAAGTATGAAAAAGTAAATAGAGCAAAAAGATTTTATCTTCACCATGCTTAATAGAATATTACACCCTAATTACACAACAAACCTTCAGAGCTAACGACCATCAACTATAGGCTCTTAATGATGCGTAAAATATTTAAGTGATAATTAATGGATATGTTTATTAAATAAATACTGTACAACATTTAAATAATTACAAATGTTAAAAACTAGTAAATGAATGTACAGTGCACCCTCTAATTCGAGACCACTTTTCCAGAGAACCAAATACTGTAACAATCTTCAATCTATTAACTGTAAGCTAACCCTCCAGAGAACAAACCCCGAGACCACCCCAAATTTTCAGGTCCCAAATGTGGTCTAGAATTGGAGGGCAAACTGTATTCTATCTGGTTACCAGGCAAGGCCACCTGATATAACTACAGTATAAAAATCATTAACATATTATACCTGTATTTGCCTGTTCTAACTTGAAGCCCACGGATCCCACAAGCCTGTGCACCTCCAACATCATTGACGATATCATCACCGACCATTATTGCCTACTAGGAATAAAAAAACATGAAAGACTAACTGGATAAGAGCTTACGTTTACATAGGTACATCCTGCAAAGGGCCTGTACGTAAGTGCAGGTTAACAGGGGGATGTATGGACCAGTACACAGGTGTAGCCCCCTACTCATCTCGAAAGATGTACTGGGTTGTGTAAAGTGCACATGAGGCTATTGTGTACACTGGGCCTATGGTTTATACTGTAGTTCCTTATCCAACTTCAGGTGAGCGTACTGTTTAAACTAGTGCTGATACAGTATTATGACTAGTTGCAGGGCCCCTGCCTTAACCGCTAGGCCATTCGCCTCACCAATAGAGATAAACTCAGTGGTATATCTAAGAGGAGTATTGAAATGGGACTGATAGGGGTCTTAATGATAAAGTGATGGGGTGCTAGCTTGCAAAATAAGATATGAGGTAAGCATAATTCTTTTGGAAGTGGGAGCCCCCTGTCCTCCCCAGCAGAAATGCCACTGATAAACAGCCTGAAAGTGGTAGGTTACTGCATGGAGTAATATATAATCTTAATACTGTAATATATTTCCTTGATGGTAACTTGCCTTGTCTGGCGTTACTCCCATACCACTGAGAGCTGTCTTAAAGAAAGACTTCGCTGGTTTCCCAACAACAGTTGCCTCACAACCACATGCATACTGGAAAGGAAAAAAGTTTACCGAGTTATGAATCAAACAAAATTGAACATGAATTATTATTTTAAAGGGAATGTAATTTAATCTAAAGCTTTTCCAGGCTATCAAATATTCTTTGACAAAAAACTGTGTGTGCCCTTATATGGCAAAGACAAGCCAAACCAGTTACACATCGCAAAAAGATAATGGCCAAATGTCAAAATTTACTAAATTTATTTTATTGCACTAAACCAACCTTTAAATGTCTATACATCATGCTATGCTGTTATTTTCTCCATTTTCAATGTTAAAGCAATATTTTTTAACGATTTAGTGATGGTTTCTACTTGAGAAATGCCTGAAATCATAAACTTTGAAGGCGGATTTCTTAAATATTGTTCTTTAAACAGCTGTAGCTTCAAACGCTTGTAACTTCATAAAGAGATGTCGGGTTTAAATGATACTTTTACCATTTTATAGCTCTCATTTTACTGTTTAACCTTGTACTAATAACCAGAAATCGGTTTTTAGTGACTGGTTGGACTTGTCTTTGCCACATATAGTCATAATGTGCCTGTATATAGTCATGATATGATGTCATCATATGATGACGCCAGTATAACATGCCAAGCTCCTGTCGGTCACAACTGGGACCAAAAAATTCTTTTTCCTAGGCATGTTTCCTTCCCCTCCTCTGGCATTTGCCACTCAGAATACTGAATTTACTAACCTCTAGGGCTCTCATGAAAGCTCCTACATCCAACTTCAGCTGTCCATCATCTTTGTAGTATTTTCTTAAAATGTGAATAAATTTAAATTATTATTTAAAGGAATCACAACTCTACACAAAAATATGCCCAAAATATACCTGCAAACTTTTTTTTTTGTCTTTTGGCGGTTCTTATATTTCATCATTACATAATTTACAATTTTTATTATAAAATATCCCTAATGAGTATTTATAAAGATAAAAATCATATATTTATTTATATTATACTTGCCAACTTAATTTGTGTCTGATGCGGAGACAAAAAAAAACATAAAATTTTATATAGTGCCCTCTATGTAATAATTGCAAAACTGAGCACACTCTGTTTCGTTAAAAGAAATTATATGGCCTGTCATTTAATGAAGAATTCACTTAATCTTTATGAGGGTATAATTGGCCTACATTTTATTTCTTATAAACATGAGACGGATCCTCAAGCGTGAGACTTGCGCATTATGGCATCAACATAAAAAATGTCAACATGACATTGATAGAAACATCTTTGTCAACGTCATCATCATCTATGCCATGTTATCTTCATAAAAGCTCTTTCTGATCATACATAAACAATTCTCCCAAATACAGTACCTTTCAATGCCCCCTTTCTATCTTAAGATCAGCTTTATTGCCGTGAGTGGCAGTATGCATATTGCTAACAGCCACCTTCTCAGAAAAAAGCAAAATGGCAGCTTACCCTCTTCCCAGTGAGATGAGATTTGGCTTCTCCATATTCATCAACACTCGAAATGCATCATTTAAGTTATCATACGTAAAATCAGACCCGCAATCGGCAATAACTACACAAGTAGGGGGCGCTGTTGATGATGCCAAGTCACCAAAATCAGCAACAGCATCTACATTGAAAATATAATAGTTACAGTACATGTAAAATGTTACATATGATGGTTAGTTCTATTTTTTTTTTCATTCAAGCACTGGAAATACTGAATGATAAATAAATAAAATTTGTTTAAAAAAATAGTTAATCACAAGTACAAAGCTCCATCATCAATCAGTTATATGTTTATAAATGTTAAATACATTTAACTGTAAATACTATAGATACATAGTAAGCTGAATCAAATGATAAACATATATAGTAATAAAGTCATATAGTACCACAACAGTGTTACGTCACATTACCATGTGATACTACTCCGTTGCTATCGGCGACACAAAATGCGTTCAACCGGACGCCATTTTCTCCACTGACAAACCATTGATCCCAATTTTTAACTTAATTAATATTTCGTATTTTAGTTTTCCTTTGTAAATTTTAATTGGTGATTAAATGTGTGTTCAATAACTAATATAATGTGAGCTTTTGTGATTTTAGTATATTTTGATGGTAAATTATTAATTTAAGTTAAGTGCCTATTCCAGAAAGCCTATTATGAACATTTTTATGGATAAAATGTCAGAATCTTACCACTATGTACAAGTAAATGGGGCTTGAGACTTTCAGAACGTAGAAGATGACAAGCAGCAGGGATTGGAGAAAACACTTCTTCTATTTTGATATCAAATCCAAGTTTATTCAGCTTAGTGACAAGTGCTTGCCGTGTACACATCGTCTCATTGGTGCAAAAACGAACCTGCACACCTGATGACTTCAACCTTTAAGATAATCATAAGCAAAAGAAAAATCAGGAATATACGACTAAAGTAGTCAAGCTTAATACTCACAACAGGAATTAGTATGAAAGACTGGAGTGATCAGAAATGATTGAGTACCCTAGATTCCCTTCACCACCCCCCCCCCCCCCCACCCTCTTGCTCATAGGAGAGTTTGGACCCCGCATTCATAAACATCATGCATAGATCTTCTACTCTGTAAGGTCCAAATTATTAAGTTTTTTTTAACTTTAGAAATAAACCAGAGGTATATGCTAATTAATAATTAGCATAAAGCATTGTCCCACCTGGCTGTTTAATGCTGTGGTTTAGGTTTCAATTCATATGTAGCAGCCAAGAGAGTCCCTAAAGACTACTGTATTTATGAGTGATATGTCATTAATCAGAAAGTTAGCCCCATTAATTGGTGAATGAAATGTCATGAACTGAAGGCACAAACTTGGTAAGTTAATATATCTTATATGAGGCTTGTTATCCCAAAACCAGCATACTGTAGCTAAATGTGAAATAGAGTAATTAGCAAAAGAATGTGGCAGTATTGTATACTTTAGTACAGAGAAACCACAATACTTTTACTCACAACTTTGGCAATATCGATTCAAGTAAATGATCATTTTTAAGCTTATAATGTGGAGAATATGATTATATTAAAATGTCAATTTAGTCTTATTTTGGTCACTGATGGTGGTTTATGGCATGGCAATCCCCATATATGTTATTATTGTATAAAGAATTTTTTTTTTTAAATGGTTGGAGATTTTATTGTGCATGATAAACTCTACACATTATCTACCAACCTGTTTACAGCTTCAACAGAGCCTGGTATCACTACTCCACCATCATCTGAACTGTTATATAGGACACCTGTGATGTCCAACAAAACACCTTGCACATCCTTCGATGACTGGTACCACTCATCAGCCATGCTCTGTGTAGAACAAGAATAATCTTGTGTTGTTAAAATTTCATTTAAGAATGAACCAAAATAATCTCATCTCATATTCATATGAGCTGGTAATATCTTGACTCATATTTTTAGAACGAATCCAGGATTTTTCTTTTGTTTTGCGAGAATCGTCAATTAGGACATAACAAGGGGGCGGGTTTGGTAGTGGTGTTACTCAAAATATGGGCATGAATATAGTATAGTGACATATATATATATATATATATCCCCGACTATTAGGCCGATGTTCCTACCGGGAAGGCTGATTTTCCTAAAGGAAGCATAAATGGGCAAAGCCAGTAGCAACTCAGAACCCCTCAGAGGGGATCCAGGGAGTACATTTATGGATCTGCTTAACTGGCCAAAATATATCGATTTTTTAATGTCAATTTTTTTATTTTTTTTTATTTTTGCCTCCCCAATGACTTGTGTTTTTTCTCTCCAACAAGGGGGTAGGTGGGGGCAGCTTTTTCCGATGGGAAGTCCCCACAAAACGGAAAAAGTTAAATATTCTACCATGGTCCATATCCAAGCCTACCCACAACTAGCTTAGGCCTAGGCAGAAGGTGCCCTATGCCTGTCAGTATCTCTAGAGACTAAAAAAGAAGACTATTCAACCAGGCTCTAGCATAAGCAGGCTAGGCAACTGCAACTGCACAAGGCCTAGCAGTTGTACAGTATTTAGCCTCGTAATTCGAACAAAAAATAAAAAAACTGGCTGTATTATAATTGTATTTACTTTTAACATAAATACGTTTTCTTACCCCATCTAAACGAGAATTGTAGCAATTATACGGCTAAAATACGACAGGGAAAGAAAATCCTCTGACGAAACAAACCTTACAAGTACACCAAGGTACTTTCCCCTGTTTAATCTTGACGATAGGCGGCGCGATTTCATTTGAAACTGCGAAGAATACAGTATGTAGGCCTACCTATTAATAAACAATGTTAAAATAAATCAATAATATCAATATTATGCATGCTTTAATTAAATGTTGTGTGCATTTTTCTACTCTACTTATGATAATAATAAATTTATCTCTATTATTGATATTTATTTTTATTTGAGCAATAATTTTCATCAATCTCATAATTTTATATAGGCCTGCTATTGACAGGAACGATCAATTTTCAAAATGTCAATCCATTGGCGGATGGGGGGGGGGGTTGGTGTCAGGGGGTCCTGACCCTCTTGAAAAAAATTCTCTGTGTACCGGTACACACATACGCTTATTTACTGTGAATAAGAAAAAATTACCTGACCGTTTACTAAAGGGGAAAACCTTCAATTTTTGGTTAAGACACTTCAGAAGTCCGGAAAACTCATTTCTCGCCATCTAAGAACCAACATTTTCTTACCACCGTCTTATTTGGGGCTCATCGATTTATTGAAAAAAGAATATGTATGCAGCGACCCAATTTTTGTTATGGACTGTACATACACACATAGTAGGGCTACTAGTATTTACAGTAATAAGAATGAGAAGTTTACCCGACCGTTAAGCGGAGGAAAACCTTAAAATTTAAAGAACTTAAAAGTCATTAAAAGTCACCTCAGAAGTCGGGAAAGCTCATTTTCTGCCATCTAGTGATCAAAGGACCCCCTTCTTCTTTGGGGTTATCAATTCATGGAAAAAAGAATACGTAAGCAACTCAATTTTTTAACTTGTACGTATACACATATAAATAGGCCTATTTACTGTAATAAGAATGAGAAAGTTTACCTGACCGTTTTCAAGAGGGGGAAACTTCGAATTTTGAAGAACTTAAAAGTCATTAAAAGACACCTTAAAAGTCGGAAAAGCTCATTTCCTGCCATCTAGTGATCAAAATTTTCCCGGGGGAGGTTCCCCTTATTTTTGGCGTTTTTATGAAAAAAGTCTGACCCCCCTCCCCCTAAATGTGAATCTAGATCCGCCCCTGCAATCAGTTTACTCGGGACCTCCATGGATCAATCGATTAATTTATAAATAGACTGAATTTTTTATTGACTGATTGATAGAATGATTGCTTGGTTGACTGATTGAGTAATTTGACTGATTGATCCGATTACATTGTTAGAATAATGATTGATTTTTTGATTAATTGACAATTAAATTAGTATTATGTTTTCTTGGTTGGCAGTTAGGTTGGAGTTTCAGAGTTTGCATTTCGTTTGTTTTTGACACCACATTTTACCTACGTGTCTCTCCACCCATCAGTATGGGGATAAAGAGAGATAAATGTTCAATAAGTACAGATTTATTCGATTAAACTGATCAATTGATTGATTGATTGATTGAACTAAATGATTCATTTTTTGTTCTTGAAGATTATGTTGGGGTTCCACCTTTATTTTGCTTGGGTTCTTAAGCAAGACACTTTACCTACGTTTTGTCTCCCTCTAGCAAGGAGTACATAGCTAGGGCTACCTGGTATTTTGTGGCAATGAATGTTGCTGGCTTATGCATGTACTGCAGCCAGCAGGTCTAGTTTTACCACTCATGGAGCTCAATGACGTTTTTCAATTGATCTGTGACTACAGATAAGGATATGGACGGGAATGCAATGAAAATTCAAAATGAAAATGTATCCATTCATTGGTGCTTGTAAAACTTTTGTTTGTGTTAAGTTTTCTGTATATATCAGACATATAACATGATCTCCTGTATGTGATAAGAGTTTATATCAAGTCATAAGGATGTTGCTATTTAGTGAAAATATATTTTGCTTAAGATGTCAATTATTATCTTTATCACTATTATCATCATCAACTTCAAATCTTCATCATCAACAAGTATCATTATTTATTATAGCGACCCTACTGAAGTACGTGTGAATTTGTGTTTCATTCATATAAAAAATCATATTCTAAAATTAGGAAAACAAACACGAACTGCAACATTTACAGAGATGACACATTTTATTTCCAGAGAACACATTAAAAATATCTTAAATATTTGACGAAATTTTGTAAAAAATATTCTCTTCCTTAACCAAATAAGCACCAATTTTTCAAAACATTACAAAAATTATAATAAGGCAACATAACAAATACTAAATTATCAGTAGTATATAGTGGGTAAACAAAACCGTATTAAAACCTTCAGTTCCATGCTGCACGCAATTACACTGTATCTGACCTGATATCGAGGTCAAAAAAGGAACGTTCATGTCGCAGCCCTGTTCCTACCAATCTTTTCACCACTATACACAAAAACTGTATCGTTGAGTTTCAGAGTATGAACTCGTGTATTGATTTGATTAGATGACTTGATATCGCAACAGTAACAATAACATTTATAAACAAAAAAAATCATCAAAAGATAGTTGCAGAGAGTAAATGACATATTTAAGTAAAATACAGTAACCACAAGTTGAATACAAAATATTATCACTGTTTATAAATACTACAATAAAGTACTGTAATCACTAATTCTTTAAGTGATCTGTCCTTAAGTTGCTAGTTAACTCTTTATGTCAGTCACACAACTACTAAATTTTACTGTTTTCAAAATGAATAATTTATGTTTATGCTCACTGTAATAAAAATATTGATATATAGTAGATATTTTGCTCCATTTATAGTATTTATTTATTTAATAATCCATCCATCCATCCATTCATTAATTAATTTATTTTGTATATATTCTGATTCATCCATCCATCCATCCATTGTTGTAATCTGTTTATTTGTCTTTGTTGTTTGTGTGAATGTATGTACTATTGTAATGCATGGGCTTCCTGAATAATGACTGATTTTATGCTTGCCATTGTTTTCCTCAATTATTGAGGCTTGGCTTGCGTTTCATAACCGCAAAGGAAAGGCCCAATATAAATACCCAATACCAGTACCAATACCATACATTTATTTGTTCATTTATTTATCCCTCCATTTATTCCATCCATCCATCAATTTATTAATTGCTTCATAATTATTCTATTCATCATTAGTTCTCAGACATTTTTCATACCAAAATGTACACAATAAAATTGGCAAGTCATATTTGTAAGCAATTTATAAATTAAAAATATTGAGGTCTGTAGACTTAATTATAAAATGGGAACACAGCCAATGATAAATAGAACAATTAAACTAAGCATATTTTTATGAGAGAAGATATAATATAGGAATATCCAATCAATCCAAACACAGTACTGTTGAATCATGATAAAAAATGTTAAAATATATATTAACTTATTTAAAGCACTTCACAAATCAAAAAATTAGAATGAAAAATGGGATTTTCCCTTCAGTAAGCAATTACAATCTAATCGTCCCCACCATATTTGAATGTTTTTTCCCTGTCCAATTTACAGTTTTGTAACTGTATACTTATCATATATTCTGAATTCACATTGATTTGAATAACAACAGATTTCTTAGCTGTTATGACAAAAGCTTAATTTATTCCCTAGATCTGAACTGAATAACAATTGAATTGAGTTAATAACCTGATTGCAATTGCACTATTACACAACCGATAGCATTTGGCTTAAAGCATGAGCTGAATTTGCATGACTCTGCACCATGTCTCAGACAATTACCAGAACAGAGGTTTTCAAACATGTACAAATATTGAATAAAAAATGAAACAAATAATATAAAAAGACTGAAAGCGATGGGAAGGAAATTGGGTGGATGAAGGAAGTATAACCAGTTTTTCAATCTTCAATCTTTTAACACAAAGATAACCCCATAACTCTGAGACCACCCCACATTTTCTGGTCCCAAAGGTGTCTGAAATTGCAGGATGTATTGTACTCTTAAAACTTACCACTTTATTCACTCTCTTAACAATTAAAACATCACGAGCATCAAAATTTGTCACCTTTTTTCTGTCGGTACACACCATGGCGTAAGTTCTTCATCACACGCTACCTTCACATGGTAAATTGTACATACAGCTCCCTCTATTTTCAGCTCGTGTGTGCGAATGAGTTCGTACTGTAAAGTATCTAGGCCTGTGACGCGATCTCGCTTGAAAGAATCCTGAAAATATGCAAATGGAAATAAAATTTTATTAAACTTTGTTATTTAACTATTAATGTTTGATATTGGGAATGGCATGGAGCTTCCCATCGTGAAGCATACAAAGCGAGTTGTTGTTTTTAGCAAAAAAGAGAAAACAATAGATTTTAACAGGATTTGGGCCCAAGACAATGTGATTTCAAGGCGAGCAACCTAACCATTAAACCACAGCTACACACAATTGTCACTTAGAGTGCAATAAATATTTAAAACAGTAGTTAATTTAGTTTATGTATTCTACTGAACCTTAATTTTAAAAACATCGGGGCTGGATAAGGTGAGTAAAGCAAATCTCCTATGGACTCCAAAAGTAAGGGTATAAAAAGAAGGGTGAAATATGGTGAAATGAGAGGAAAAGTCCATCATTGCAGGCTTGCAGACACAGTATTACATAAAGCCCTATCTAGACTCAAATTTTATATGATAAAACCATGTGACATGCATAAAGTAAGATTACGATGACATCACATTATGACCATATATAGGCACATCATGACCATATATAGGCATATCATGACTACATATGGGCATACAACATTTGATAGTCTGGACAGAGGTTAAGTTTAAGAATGCAAGCTCTACACATTCAGGTTGGGTCTTTAAAATCACACTAAATTGCAGAGGCTCGATTACCCATAAATTTATGTTGACATAAGACAACAATTACCTTCTTTTGACCCTGAGAGCGGGTCATATCACGTGGCCTACGCACTTTGTCGTGCAGGTGGTAAAAAGAATCGCGTCCTGTTGTTATACCTTGTGGCCTTGATATCTATTTTTAAGGAAATACAATAAAATTAATAAACTTTATAAATTTTAAATTGATTATTATTATTATTCGGTTATTTATATAGCGCCTTTCTTTGCATATACAAAGCACTTTAACCCAACGGGTCTACATAAATTGTTGCAGCTGTAATCAGCGATGGAGTAGGCAACCCCACCAGGTACCCATTTATTCTCCTGGGTGGAGAGAAGCAATGTAGATAAAGTATCTTGCTCAAAGACACAAGTGAATTGCACAGTGATGGATTGGAACCCTGATCAGAAGGTTAGGAAACCAAATCGTTCCCGCTGCGCCAAACTACTTATACTGATGAAGTAAATGATGAACTTAGTCAGATTAATGCAGCAAATTATGCTCCAAATTTAAACATCCTCTGCTGACAAGTCCTATCATTGGTAAACTGGAACCTTGAATAACTAATTTCTATACCCTATTGCAATTTATAAGCCATTTATAACACTTACATAAAACATTAAGATATTATGACCCTATATATTCTTACCTCTAAATCAGCATCTTTCATTCTCATATAAAATTCATCATCTTCTCGTCCCCAACCCCAAAATTTGTTAGACATACCATTAAGCTGAAATGTTTTAAAAAGATAAATAAAATGGTTCATTTTATTTCACATAATATTGAAAAACAATTGAAATCACTAACGTTTAACATTAGTTATCTATGTAGTTTAACTACAGAAAGCAAATATGAAAATTATATAAACACCAAGCTGCTACTTTAAACTCTGCAGTGGACAGAACATGGCTTGGATAAAGACTTTAATTTATATGTTAATTGTTTGAAAAAGATATATTAAAATTTTACATTAATATTAATTATAATTTTTTTATCAATGAACTTTTAACTGAAATAATTTTAACCACAATAGATTAATACCCTTAATAAATGGGAGAATCATAAACAGCTGTTGATTGCTTTGATAATTTAAAATGTAGAAAACAATCTAGTAAACAGGTGTGGAAAAAATGTTTGCGCCTCCAACCATGAAAATTTCCTCCATAAAATGCCTTCAGCATCAAGTGTTATCTGTACACTATATATAGCGCAACAGTTTATTTTATTATTATTTTCCCCCAAAATGACCCTGGTACATTCATGATGCTTCTGACCGCCGGTCATGTGGCCGCGCACTTTTTCCAGCCCTGCTAATAAAATTAATTACAATGCATCGCATATTGCATAATTTTTAATAGAAATTTTAAGTTTAAAACTCCACTTTAAGAAGTAAAAAGCGAGTTTCCTACCAATTCATAATGTTTCATCTGTAACATGAGTATTCCTCCAACGAATGTTTTATAACCGTAGCGAGGATGAAGTTCGTATGATGACAAATGATGCGGCCCTTTCTGTACCACATCAAAACGGTAACTTAGCTTCTCGTTTCTTGGTAGTAAGTCTACATCATGCATGGCTAGATATTGGCATTTCTTTTTAGCTTGCATGAAGCCAATATTAAGAAGTGATGCTCTGTTAAATCTATAAATTGAATATACATTAATTATAAAAAATGTGTATAATTAATTAATTTATTTTAGTATCTATACAGCAATTTTTGTCCTGGTCATTAGATAGAGAATCAGTCATACACAACGTTCAATCTCCTCCCCTCCCTGGGGAGTATTCCTAGTTACGCGTGTAATCAGCACTACTAATTTATTCCAAATCATTCACGTCCTACCAGGTAGACATTTATACTCCTAGGTGAAGAGAGGCAAATGCAGATAAAGGGTGTTGCCCAAGAACACAAAGCAGTGTGACAAGCATTGGTCTCGAGCTCCCGGCCCTTTGGTTGAAAGTCCAACGCCTTAAACACTGCGCCACACGTTTCTGCCATTGCCTATCATTCAACTTCACCTTGTTTTATAAATGAGGCAGATATGCTTGCCTTCCCCTGTAAATGATTGCTAATCTCCTTTTCTTCTCGAGTCTCTACGTAGCTAGTGTATATGATCTTGCTTACGTAGTGTAGTACAAGGATTCGCTGGTAGGATATCTGAAAAGGGCCACAACGTAAATTTGCTTCCAAATAATGTTCTATCAATATTAAGCCTTTCATGAGACAGAATTAGTTTTTTGAGCATACTAAAGCTTTTTTTCAGCATTGCCAAGTTTCATATTTTTTGTTGGGTGTGAAGGAACTTTGTTTTAAAAGTTCTGGTTAATAACGGATGACCTTCTAATCCTGGCTTTTAGGTTAAATGTGGAAGAAATAAAAAATACATTTTTAAATACAATAATAAAAAATTAAAATATACATCACCTGTAGCTATCAACTTGATTCACTATGTAAAACTCATGCCTTATTTTCTGCATGTTTAAAAATTTGTGCATATACGGTACAAATTGTAGAAGTTCCTCAAATCGTTCCCGAAAGGGAACAATAATGGCAAGAACGTGAGGGTCCCATTTAGACATATCATCTTCATCTTTCTTATCTGCCTGGTCTATAGTGCCATCCTTGCTTTTTTCTATATCCTTAGCTTTATTACACTTTATATTTTGAAGTTTTCGTTCAATCTCTTCTGTGCTCTCGCAATCGCAATTATTGTAGGTAATCATCAGAACCATTGAGGCTAAAAATGTCAGAAAGATTGCCACCACAAGAACTCTTGTGATGGACAATCGCCGTGCTTTGGCCATCTCTGAAACAGCTGACTTGCAGCTTGTACATCTACCAAATAATCGAACAATTATTATGCACAACTTAAAGGTCAAATCATTATGAAGCAAAATACCACAATAAAAATTAAATTATTCATTTTTGTTGTAAATAACATGTGGCAAATATTTAATAAATATGCAACAAATCTCCCGTCAAGTTAAGATGGTCCTCCGCACTCTCACAATTCAAGAAAGCAAAAAACCTTCCGGAAACTAAACCCATCCAACCCATTATTTGTACTGCACATTTTTACTACTGAATTATCAATTAATCTCCTGGGACCTGGATGTCAGCTGGTGATGGGTACCACTATTTTCTCTTTTCTTTTTTTACTATGTAGTGGCAGAAATTTTCAACATAACACAAACACGGTAGTTTTAGCCCCCGGGTTCTAACCTACGGTAGCTAAGCCTAGGCCTAGGCCTTGGCCACAGAGTTAGCACGGGTACGCGGCAGCGAGACAAGATTCTCTCTGCCTGACAAAGTAAACAAGAGAAGCCGAGCCTAGGCCTAGACAGTAGCCACTATCCTAGCGTTAAATGCTGGTGTAAAATTATAATAACAGTTATATGTAATATCAATCGGTAACTATTATCAATTCATACCGTATAGCAGTGTTCTATTTATAATGACGTGTCCCTTCGCTGCATTTTCTTAGTTCCTGCACTTCCAACGTGTCACCATAGAGAAAATAGAACAGTCACACTCTCTCTGTTTACAAAGCATGTTGACACGGCGGCCTGTTCTATAGAATATTGCGTGATCTACCAAAAACTTCAACAGTACGTGAAACTTTTAGTCCAATCACGGACGTATAATAGGCCTACACATTGAGCACAGTTACAAATTTGAAATCAAAAGTTATTATATGTTATAAATACTGTATATTATGTTAATTATATTACAGAGAGAATTTTGTTTAAAAATAGAATTGGTTCTACACTGAACCTCTTCTCATGATTGTTGATTTATATCTTGGGTGGATTTAGTTTAGAACACCAAACTTTTATGGGGGAATGTCCCCCCTCCCACCCCCATATCCCTAGGTTAGCATTATCTCGATCAGCCCCCACCTTTTGGACATCTCTGAATTCGCCCTTGTACATTTAGGTCTGCATCATGGAGTTTGAATAATTGGGTTAAATACTAACCATATTTGCATTGGGATATGGTAGTTCCACATTCTCAATTTTTGCAATTGTTCCTTCCCCCACCCCACCGGCCATCTCCAGCCTTTGCCCTAGTATCATTAGCATTATATTAATGAGCATTATCATCATTATTGCCATGACATCATTATCTTCAACAACACAATCATTAGCATCCCCATTATTATCATCACCACCGTCATTACCATCTAAACATTATCGTAATAATCACCACTATATTCATAATTATCACAATCAGCACCATCATCAATATTACCATTTATCAGTCTCCATAGCTCCTGATAAGTATAAAGCCGAGAGAGGAACTTTTTTTTTCTATTAATGTAGATTATCGTATTTAGGTGAGGTATTTGGTGTCAGAATTAAGGAATAAAATAAAAATTGATAAAGAAAACCAATAATTACACATAATCTTCAAACATATTGTGTTTTATTATAAATTTTCAGTACACTAATATATTACAATTTGCAGTGTTTTACATTGAAAAATATATATTTTTGTGATTTTATTTTAGTCCAACTAAATATTAACCACAAGAGTCGATCCAAAAATTACATTTCATAACATCCCTACACCTTGATGGATTAGGTTGGGCTAATGCAGGTTGTTAGGTCCTTCATGGAGCAGCGTAATGTCCCTACCCTTATACATAGTTTTGATTATGGGGTATTTGGGTCATTAAGTCTGTAGAATGCAGAGATTCAATTCACGAACTCTGGGGTGTCACCAGGATTAACACGTCACACAAACGACTCGGACGCACAAACTAGTTGTTCTAATTCATTTACTGCTTTCAATCTCATGGTTAAACTTGACTACTTTCCATCTATCTGTCCGTCAGAGATGATTTGTGAAATTCTAGTATGAGTCCAGATTAGCATTTTTAAAGAGAAGACTGTATACTGATGTCATCGAAGGTATATCCAGAAGGGGTATGCTGAACCAGTACCCAATGAGGGAGTAAAGTTAATGGATGGTATCTTCCACACCACCCAGTGATGCACCCCTACAAGAAGAAAGGTTAGAGTTGTGTACGACTGCGCAGCCAAGTATGCTGGGACATCGCTGAATGAGCAGCTGCATAAACGACCTCATTTTATGAAGTGGTTGAAAAGATTAGAAATTTTTTTCGTTGCCCACCCCCCAACATTAGCAGGCCTGTAACCAGGGGGATCAAACGATCCCCCACAGAATAGGGAGTCCTGCTCCTTAGTGTCAATGTGTGCCTTGGCCTTATAAGCCTATGACATGCATGGTAGTTTTTATGTGCGACTATACTCAAAAGACATTGTGCACAGTAAACAAAGAAGATGATGATGATGATGATGTATGTGATATGATCGTATCTGTAGACTTCCTACTACATTTCATCTACTAACAATATTGCATGGTATAGCCTACTGCCGATTCTTCAATATTTCCACATATCAAATTGATTCAGTTTTAATTCACGAAAATTGTATAAATTCATTTGAAAGCAGCTCAAAAACACCAGAAGAGCATTTGGAATGGTTTTCAACATTTTTCAAGAACCCCTGGACCCCAAAAGTTCCACTCAGATTGAAAAAGACCCCCCCCCCCCATTACTATGGTGGTCAAGACCTGTTTGACATGTACAACGTACAAAATATATAAGATCATGTAACATGTAGTTTTATATGTGGATTTAGGTGCCCCGGGCTACTATATACAGTGCAGAATTGCACATCTTAAAGCAATGCAGAAATAAATATTTTTTAACATTTTCTCAAATTCATTTTGAACGGACTTGGGCCCTTCTTTCAATCATGTATTGTCATGGGAATAGAAACAAATCTTTCCAAATTGGCAACGAGACCAGAGATTGAGACCTATAGTTCAAGGCAACCATCTGAGTGTTGAAGGCAGATTGAGCAATGCTCAAATTCTCCCTCATTGTAGGGATGTGGTAAGTTTGAGACAGTGGTTGGTCAGTAACCCTAAACGCACTTCATGAAAAATTCTGGATTATGAAAGGTAAGTCTGTAGTCAAAGGACTTTATGGAATTGTGTTGCATGTAGGAAGCATTATGCTGATGAGCTTTCTTTAATCTTTATAGGAGTCAAATACTTTGGCCCCATCGAGGTCAAGCAAGGCCAATCAAATGTCAAACGTTATGGATGCATATTCACATGTTTGGCGAGGAGAGCTGAGAGTCTAGAAGTGGCCGATTCTGTGGATGCAGATTTATTCATTAACGCATGCCGCCAGTGTGTGGCTTGAAGAGGACAACGGCACAAAATTCATAGCCGGCGAACAGGAAGTAAGACAGGCATTGGTTAGGATGCGTCAAACAACCATAGAAGAAGCTCTCCATACAAGAGGGTGTGAATGGCATTTTAATTCTCCCTCCGCCAGCCATTTCGTGGCAGGCACTTGGGAGAGACTAATAAGGTCAGTCAGAAGAATTTTGTGTCCTAAAACAGCAGGCAGTTAACAGTGAGGTGTTGCATACCGTATTAGTCGAGGCGGAGAATATTCTTAATTCAAGGCCCCTCACCGATATATCTTGTCAACCCCTTGACAACTAATCACCTACTTTTAATGAGAAAGGGTTCAACAGCTCCAGTAAGTGAGTTAGAAGCGTACAGTAAACGTACATGGCTTCAACAGCTTCAGTGGGTGAGTTAGAAGCGTACAGTAAACGTAGATGGCTTCAAGTCCAATATCTTTCATCGATCTTCTGGACGTGTTGGAGGAAGGAATACCTTCCTTTATTGCAAAAGCATCATAAGCATCAAATAGTATATATGTTATGTTTTGTTTAGTCAAAAGACAGACAGACAGATGAAAAATAGTCAAGTTTAACTACAAGATTGAAGCAATAAACGAATTAGAACACCTATTTTGTTCATCCGAATCATTTGTGTCACAAATTAACCCTTGTGACATCTCAGAGTGTGTCAATTGGATCTCTGTGTTTTACAAGGTCCTTAGTGGAGTTACTGTATGTAATCAGACAGATGGGTTATATTTTTTCCATTGTATTTGAATTAATGGTCTCTGAATGCTTTCTGAAATTTTTACAGTATAGTATAATTGTATCAATCAACTGTTAAGTATGCCTTCTCTTTCAGTAGGAATTTGCCTTTTTGAATGTGAATCAACTTGGTTGATTTTATTCTTATCTGCATACAAAAAAATAAATACTTTTTATTGGTCATATTTAGAGTGAGGGAATTGTCAAAGCTCAACATCCACACACTTTTATTATGCTGTAATGTACATCTACTTCAGAACAATAGAAAAACAAAGATTGGAACATTATCTTAGGATGTTGTTTTGGATGAGAAATTGTCAGGTTAAAAAACTCTTCATTGTTTATCTGCTTGTTTTGAATCACTTTAATGTGCATACCCCCTCTGCTGGATCTGTTGCATCTTGATGGAACTTTCTTGTGTTGCTAGCTTTGTGGTACTTGTCAGAAGTTCTTGACATCTGTAAAAAAAAATCATGATCTATCCAATGGAGCTGAACAGTTTTGAATCTTCTTTGTGGACTGGCATTGTTTAACGTTAACATTATTTGATCGCGGTAGGCCTACCGTAGTTAAATTTTTACAACACCAGGCACTAAGCGCAAGCTCGGTGGCCTAGCGGTTATGAAATCAGGTTAGTTATCAGGAAGTCGTGGCTTCGATTCCCACCCAAATCATTGCAAGATTTTGAAACGTACTGAGCATTCAAGTTTGAAAACAAGTCATTCCTGGTAAGCCATTCCAACAAAGGAAATTGTTTGTAAATTAATAGTCTTTTCCAGAATCAATGCAGCTTCAAACATTTCTATTTCAAACTTTAGATAAATGTTTATTTAAATTCTGAACAAAACATTTCAAAAAACCTAGATGAATACTGCCCTCTATAGACAAAACTTGTACAAACCTGGATAATTCCTTGAGTTCATTTTCTACTGCCTTCTCAAGCATTTGTGATGCATTGGCAAGGCTGGTAATGTTTGTTTGTTGGCAACTAGTTATGAGACTTATCTCACCCAACAACTGCTGGCTTTCATTGAGGGCTCTTTGTAATGCATCTACAATAAGAATATTGTCAAACTCAAAACTCAAACTAATTTTATTATGTACAGTATAATAGTTTGGCATGTATCTTATCTGTATCTGTTGTGTATAAATTATTATTTGGCACTATGAAAAAGTTAGTTAAAATGCCGAATTGAAAAAAAAAATAAAATGCTGATAAAGCAATACAGTGCTTACTCCAACACGTCTTATATATATCTAATCATAAATTAAAATTATACACAAAAAAAATAACCTTCAAAATTAAATTAAATTAACCAATAAGTGAGTAACAACTAAGTAGGTGTGCTCTGTGACCTGGATAATTTGGAAGATGCCATTATAAAATTAGGGATGTTTTGTGACAGTACCTTGGTATTCCTCTTCATTTTCAGGTATTATTATACCAGTGGTAGGCAGCTGGTGTCTTGTAGTGTCTACTCCATGGGCCAAAGTCCTGTACTGCTCTTGAAACTTCTTGAGGTGGGTTACAACTGGGCCTAGCCCTTGGCGCTGGAAAACATAACAACAATTATGAGTTTTACCCATTTTAACACCATGAATTTTTACATAGCAATAAGCAAATTCATAGTTCGAACCAGGCATGCCCATATCAACGTCAATCAACATAAACAAGCATACGCACAACATAGGTTTATATTGATTGACAATGGATATGGGCATGCGCAGTTTGAACCAAGAACTGGCTTATTTTCATCCAGTGAAACCCCTACTCTTTGAATGTGTCTAAAATTGTTTTAGTTTTGTGGTTATAATACTTTCATTGTAATTCCAGGGCACTATTCTGATTACAGTTACCCAAATTCATTGAAGGCAACATAGTAGAGAGTAGCTTAGCTCAGTCGCCTAAACTTCAGTAGTCACTGTGATTTTGAAGAACCATGGGAATCATTCCTGACATTTGACCTCTAATGCAATTCCATCACTGTTTATAATGGCCTATTTTCATGTTAAAGAATGCACTACAATCCCAGTGTACTGAAAAATTAACCACCATAAGGAATCCACAGGAAATAAGTCTTTGCACTTAAAAGGGTTAACCTTTATAATTTGTTTCAGATAGCAATCAAATAAATAGTGGTAACATAGTGTGTTGATTCCGTAAGTGGGACAATTTACCTGTATGTCCAGATGTTGGTCAAGTCGATTGTTGTGCTTTACTCGCTCGAGTTCAAGCTTCAATGCAAATTGGCGTTTCCTTATCTTTTCATTTTCCATCCATAATCCATAAAACTGAGACTGAAAGTAAATGAATAATGAAGACAGTGATGATGGTAATGATGACAATATTAACAGTAACAATAATATTATTAACAGTTAATTAAAATAATAATAATATTAATGATAATTAGGTGAATAAGTTAATCTAGTGAAAACCAAACAAGACTGACTTTGACTTGCGCAAGCATTTGTTGAGTTGTCGGCATAAATTCATCAGACTATGTGAGTTAGCGTCAGTTGTTATGGACATTGTGTGAGCAACGCCCTCCTCTCTGGCTAACTCAAACAGTCTGAAAGGTCGTGCTAACATGACAGAAGCTAACAAAAATCAACTTCGATCATGTTCAGTTTATACAAGATTAACTTAAAGTCTAAAGCGCAGTTCACACTATCAAATTATATGACATGCCATATATGGGCATGATGATGTCATATTACACCCAAATATGGGCATATTACATTTTTTTGTCAAATAAAATTTGATAGTGTGGACAGCATTTAATACATACTGTATACATAAACCAGATAAATTTATTTGAACATTTATATAACAACAACTATAATAGCAGTAATAATAGCAATATAAATCATCGGTGTACTGTAAGCTGGGGGAGGGGGTTATTGTCACGTCACCAGCCCACGCCCCTGTAAATATTAACAATAATAACGGAATATCTCATAACAGATACTTTATCAATATCGAGTGGGATATATAATTAAGCTTGTAACACGGTTTTGAGGTCATTACGACCACAAGCGTTTAGCATGTGCTGGAAAATTAAGATTATCCAAGGACAAGACTATGAAAAAAACTTTAAGGAAATGAGACATTTCATAATCACATATCATCAAGTATTTTTAAGATTAACACTTTACTCACCATGACTTCTTTCTCCTGTTCATTATAGGCTTTGCGTGCCTAATGGGAAAAACAAAGTTATTTATAGATTCATCACTCGTTGCAAACGGAAAGATAAACATAATTTTAGATACGGTCATACCTGTCGTCAGTTAAATAGTAAACATCTTGATCATTGAGGTCAACTCGGTTGGTTGGGAAGGAAATTTGTCTAGGCCTATGTTGGGTTCCAACGCGCCCTTGATTACTGCTACATTGTATGGGGTGGTTAACTAGAGATTACAAATAATTCAAAATAGAGCAGGAAGAATTACATGTAGGGCATCACGGGACACTTCAAGTAGTGAAGAAAGAAAACAACCGAAACGCAGACACTAAATCGACTTATTTTTGTGTATAAAGTTCTCCATAATGTTGCCTTCCTATCTTGTAAATATATTTCAATACTGTTCAAATAATTATAAATTTAGACATAGCCATTCGAATGTTGTAATGCATTTACCAAAGAGTAAATATAAAAAACAAATATTTTATCTTTAAAGGCGCTAATAGAATGGAATAATCTTGGCTTAGACATACAAAATACAGCCACACTTTGTTCATTTAAGCATAAGATTAAAGCATTTTTTAAAAATATATTTTTGCAATTGATATTGTCATTTTGTATACTTTTATATTGTACTTGTGCATGGCCCCAGGGAAGGACAACCCTGTGTTGATCGGGGCGGCCACGGTTAAATAAATTTGAACTGAACTAAAGTGAACATAATCTCAGCTCCAGCATTAAATTAATTTCTATTACACACACAGGAATGTTTACATTATAACCATGACACAAATTGTTGTTGTATTCTGGATAACTATTTTCACATCAATAATAAACAATTGATCCCAGATACACTATAAATATTATAATCCAATAAACTGTCCTATATAGGCACAAAACTTACAATTAAAAAGTGAACAAGTGTAATGTATAATGAACTTAGTTTATTGGAGGAGTATGATTCATTGCTATAATTTGAATTTTCATAATTTGAAATGTATCAATTTCGTTAACGACTTGTGTCCCGGGTAAATCTACTAAAGAATTTGAGCATTAGGGCATTCCGGTAACTCATCGTGGAAAATGATTAATCTACTTACTTTGGAGTCAAGGAATATCCATTGTAGGTATTGGTCATACATCTTATCCAAGTAGGCCTGGCTAATTTCAACATCATGCTGAAAGAAAAGGGCAAAGACATGTATATGAATTTAGAGTTAATCATACAACAGTGTGGCTAGCATCTTTATCCACTAGCAAAGTATGGTAAAGGAATAGGGTTGGGGAGGCTGTGAAGTAGGGATGAGGTAGATTTGCATTGGGAAGGATAAGGCTAATATATAAATAGTTGTATTGGCCAGATATAGCGACAATCAAAAATCTTGGTGAAGCAGATAAGAAGTATTTACTATAGGCTTAGTCCATGAACCAATAGGCTAAAATCTACAGTTAAGATATCAATCAGTATTATAAATAAAACTTGAAAACAGCAGCAGATCCAGGAATTCAAAATAGAGGGAATCCAAGAAAGGACTTTCACAGATAGGGGGGTCAATACCAAGAAAATTTATGATTATAGTACCTCTAGATGGCTGGAAATGAAACTCTCAGACTTAAATTTGCATATAATTTGCTTTTTTTCTCCAATTTAAAAATTTAAAATAATCTAAGGTTAAGGGGTGCAGGCCAGATGCCTCCCACCACATCCACCCACCCCCTCCTTTGAAACTACCACTGGAAAGTGCTTTTTTCATACATTAGGCTAGCAAGAAGGATACAATTTAAAATCAGGGCAGTTTAAAAGTGCAAATATCTAATCCAAGAAATGTTAATTACACTTGGGAGAAAAAGGAAAACAGTAAAATAATTATGAAAAGAAGAGTTGACACATTGAACAAGAATAGTGTAGTTAATACACAGCAATGGAGAGCATTATACTGGGGAACAAGCAGCAGATCAAATTTGACTCGCCGATCAAAATTTTATCTTCCAGTCATCGTTATTCACTACTTTCAGCTAACTAGATTACTTAGAACCACTCTCTCTCTGCATGATAGTGTGAACCCTCTTTCTGATCCCAAATTTCCCGGACAGTCTACAGGGAAATTAGAGATAGAATTACAACACTGAACAGACTCAAGTTAAGGTATCATTTGGTCAAGAAATCTCACACTGGCCTCTTGAGATAGAGAAGGAAATGAACACCCATTTTAGTATCTTGGGTTCTATTCCCAATGGCATAACTATTTATAAAATACTTTTAAATTTCAGGTTTGAAAAAAAGAAATTATAATACTATTTTAAGAAGTATTTTAATCATTATGCTCCAGAAGTATATATTACAATAATTGAATTAGTAATACAGGCCTCCCTTGAATTAAAGACCCCTTGAACTAAAAACCTTCCAATCAAAGACCACCTCCAATTAATGACCACTTTTCTGTGGTTCAAAATTAACAAATGTCTTTTATTTTTATTATTCTAATGAGAGACCAAAGCTGCTAAAGTCCATGAAAAAACCCCAGTCCCAAAAATGGTCTTTAATTGGAGGGAGGCCTGTATTATCCCAACTTGTAGATATGCATATATACGCTTTAGACTATTACACCTCTTTATAATACAATCAGTGAAACCTCTGATTCTACACCACTTCACTTTTTAAACCATATTAACCTTTAAGTTCAGGGTCCACTTAGGCTTTAACAAGCATTTTAACTACTAAGTTTCACAACACATTTTAGATCAAGGCAGTAAACTTTTTTGCCACAGGGTGACATTCTTGTCGTATAATTTCAGTTGACAAAGTCAATTTCCTGTTACATACTGGTCTTGACCTTTTGTTAAGTCCACTGACCTCTCTGCTGACAAAACCCAGTACTGTATCCACCTGATTTGACTTAAAATAGACTTACAAACTAACGCAAATATTAATAGAGTACTTATAATAATTAAGGTTTAGAAAAATCAGAAGTAAAATTAGTATCTATATCTATATGAAGATCTGTCTATAGTAAATATATATATAATAAATCTACTATAGATCTACATGAGCACTTCTTAGTAGATTGTTACCTTTTCCTTGGATGACCTCTGTGTTGCATTGTGGGATACACTTGTTATGGATGACTGGTTAATAATGGAGGCATCTATTAAAAAAAATGGAAGGTCTTTAAAAATGACAATATATAGCGTATAAGTCTGTAGAAGTAGTGTGTCCATTAATTTTGTTTCACCTACCTTTTGTGCATGTAGTGAAACTATTCAGGCAAAAGAAGTTAGCTACATCTCTTGTTGTCTATGTTATCTAAAATTATCCATTATCAGGATTTTCCTTACCTGCCTGTGCAATAATAGACTCTTCCAGCATCACAGGCATCTTCGCAAAAGAACCAGCTGGGGTAGAGGTCGCTCCACCAGCTGTTTGTGACCCTCGAGCCATTGGTGTGTAGCAGAACTGAGAATCACTAGTGTTACGATGATTCTTGGATGTTAGCTGATCTGAGTCACTGATGTGATGTCTTCTGGATGTCCTCTGGTGTGATTCCTTGACATCCTTAGAAATTGATGTCTGATGGGAGTCATTGAAGCTCTTCAGTTGCCTAGCAACATCATCAATTCTTACAGTCCTTTTTGTGGCTGACTGTGGGCCTGCTTTTGCTTTACTAGTTGATGACATTTTTCTGGACTATATATTAAAAAACAATTTCCAAGATATTTAAAATAGGAAAATAGAGATATAAGTATATGGGGCAAAGACAAGCCAAACCAGTCACTCGTCACAAATCGTGTTCCATAGATAATGGCCAAACATGCTGAAATATCAAAATTAATTTTTGAAATCTATTTTATTGCACTAAACTAACCTTTATCTATACATCATGCTATGTTGTTATTTTCCCCATTTTTAAATGTTAAAACAACAATTTTTAACAATCTGGTGATGGTTTCTGCCAGAGAAACGGACAAGATTGTAAACTTTGAAGGCTGATTTCTCAAATATTGTTCTTTAAATAGCTGTCCTGTAACTTCATAACAAAATGTCAGATTTAAATGATTCTTTTACCAATTGTATAGCTCTCATTTTACTGTCTAACCCTGTATTAATAACTAAAAATCAATTTTTTTTTTACGTTTACACTATAAGAGAGGTTTTGCACACGAACGAATAACTGTACGCTTACGTTTACTATCCGTAACGGTTCACAGCCTTTCTGTGATTTTTGCAATTGTACCGCAAAAAGCCTAGGCCTAGGGCCTTAGCTTAGGCCTACTACTAGTAGTAGTACTAATTTCTGTTCTCCTCTCTCATCGTGCTTCTCAAAGTTTTATTAGTATATGTAAGGTTTTGGAAATTTAAAATTGTAGCTGAAAAATTCTTCCTTTGTTGCCCAGAAGTGTTGGTTATTTTGTGATAGGCCCTATTGTTTATGACCCACGTTTAGCGGATAGTAGCCGGCGTATGATGTCAAAATGATGACGTATCTGTCACACTAACCATACGTGTTCGCGTGCAACACCTCCCTATTGTTTTGTGGGACCTCAGCAACTTACTATTTTTAATTTATGTAAATTCTCTACCTGATGTAATGTCCTGTAAAGTTATGTATGCAGATGACACCACTATACTTTGTAACTCATCTGACCCAGTCACTCTACAACAAGAACTAAATTCTTGTTTGACTAAAATAGCTGACTGGTTCAATGAAAATAAATTAATTATTAATATAAAGAAAACAAAATTAATGTTATTTCACTTAATTTGAATGGTGATATTATTGAAAGAGTTGATTCTTTTAAATACTTACTGTAGGTGTAACTTTTGATCCTGTACTAACTTGGAAAGACCACATAAATAAATTATCTTCAAATTTGTCTAAGCGTATTGGTGTCATCCGCCGTATAAAATACCTACTTCCACCCCATACTCTTAAAATGCTAGCCAAGTCCTTAGTATTACCTCTTTTTGATTATTGTTGTTGTGTCTGGTCCAATTGTAATGTTCAATATTCTAATTGTTTACAAGTTCAAATGAACAGATTATGTAGAATTGTTTTGTCTGTTGATATTTATACTTCCGTTGATGTTATGTTAAGTTCACTTGCATGGAAACGACTACTTGTAAGGTGGAATGAACAGATAGCCTTAATGACTTTTAAATGTTTAAAAGGGTATGCACCATTTATTTATCATCTAAATTTAATATCGAATCCCATTCAAAATGTACACGTAGTCAATCTCATAATAACCTTTTTGTACCACAATGGAATAACTGTCAAAGCAAGTGAACTTTTTTGTATCGTTCAACAATGAACTTCCACACGAAACAACAACAAATTTCATGAACATGTCTATTATATTTTTTAAAAACTCTTTTAATTCTTAATCACTTTTATTATGATATCTATTTATATATATGTATGTTTTTTAATTACTTTTCTTTTAACTCTTGTATTTTATGAAACTGTACCACTTTGAAAAACAGTACACAAGTACTGAAAGTGCATGCAGTAGAAAGACAGAATAAATAAATAAATAAATATCTAAGGGGTGGGGGCTAAGCATAAAAGTCAAAGGTCCACTTGTGATGATGTATCTGTATGAATTATTGAGTGATTGTTTTTACCACATCTGCCTTCTTTGTTGAGCCTTGGTGTTTTTTATGTGAGCTGATTTGAAACTGGCTTTCGTTTGCTTTACTCGTTGGCTGCTTATACCTTGATTGGACAACTCGTCCTGATATATGTAAAACAAGAATAGAAATTATAAATTCAGTTTCTTATTAGGTACTTTAAAAGACAAAAAAAGCACCACTGTGTTTTTTATTTTTTTTTAACTTAAAGCTTCAGTGCAGTGCTTATTTTTATGTTTTTCCAATTATTAAACAGCTTAAAATTGTATATAGAATGATTAATAATTAACAATAATGGCCTAATAAAATAAGTAAAAATCAATATATTTAATAGACCAAATTCATTTCTCAATCAAATTTTATCTCTTGCAAATCATTTGTAGTTAAGTAAGTTATATTTCTGTATGGTCAATTTAAAAAAAAATTATTTTCTAAGATGGAATGACCGGCTTAAGAGCCAAACTTTCTATTAACCGTAGTCATTCCAAGTGCCATCTTGGATTTTGATATTTATTTTGTTTTATTGGGGAAAAATAAAGAATAAATAAATAACAGAATGAGGCTCATTCAAGTGTCGGTTATTACAAATTATAGAAGTGGATAAAAACGTGGATATATCTCTAATCACCTTCCTAATTTCTTTTGAGCCTTCCTGATATAAGTCCTATTCTTTTTTTTTCTTTTTTTTATGTATTGCATGTTTTTGAATTTAATAAATGAATGAATGAATAAATGATAGAAAAAATAAGATAAGCTTGGATAAAATTCATAAATGTATAGATGGGATAAATAGCCAAAAAGAACAGAAGCAGGTGAAGGAATATACTGTACATCAACCTTGCAAGCCACATTGTCTAATATGGACAGGCATTAAGGTCCATAATTATTTAACTATTTAATCACTGAATTTACAATGCAATATAAAAAATAAATTATCACAATGATTTAAACAATTGTAAATTTGAAGGACTATGGATAGCTAAAGTTGTCTAATTTACCTATAGCGGCCCCCATTTCAGTTGGGATGATTTTTTTTATTTCATCGGTCTGAATGAACATAAAATATAGTACATACATTGCAACATTTATATAGCACTATTTCATGAAGATAATAATAATTACAAAAATAATATGGAATATAGTAATCATAAATTAATTATTTTTAAATATGGCAATATTCAAAACAAAACTAGTTATTCGAAAATCAATCAATTATTATTTAACTTTACCTTTTGGTTTCTTTTTCTTCTCTTTCATAAATTCAGCTTCACTTTAACCACAATAAATAAAAGCATGTTATTATATAGTAGAACAGTTAGCATATTTATTTTATTAGAAATACTATATATAATTTAATACTAAAATATAGGCATAAATAAATTAAATTTTCATATTTTGGATGTTTAATACAAACTAAGTAAATAGGTATATCAGTACTATTGTAGCAATAACCATGTACAGAACCTGAAACCAAAGGCATCTGGAGCTTCGCATGGTGGAAGGTTGGGGGGGGGGAGGCAGGTCAGACTTTAGAGACACTTGGAAAGATGGTGTAGTAAGCATAATAATGTTTACCTACACTACCCCAACACTTGTACATTTGACCAACCACAAATATTGTTTTCAAAAAGACAGGTCGTAGCTTGTATTTCAGCACATTACTGCAGCTAAAATACCGGGATTTGAACCGGGGACCTATGAATCTCCACGATTCACTCACAGTAGTCACTACCACTATTTAATAGTCAAATGTACCATATTACAACATATGAATTTAGGTGTGAAGGTCAATTAGTTTTTAATATTACCATTCAAAAATTCATTGAAGCTAAACAACTTGTTTACTGCAACAGGTGCGGTATTACCTTATTAAGAATTACTTATAAAATGTCGTGATAAGTCAATAATTTTGCCAAGTCACTCATCATTAGAGAGAATATTCGCTATGTCACCAATCATATGTAATAATCGTGAATGTTAGGGATCTGACGAGTTGGGATGACATTTTGGGAAGGGGGAGGGAAGTTGAACTTTTAGTGGTGGTAGTTAACAAATTTATTAAATAAATTTATTTCGTCCTTTTTTTATGACAATAAATAATAATTTAAGTATAACAATAAATAAATCATAAAAATATTTATTACCTTGGTTTTTCTGCAGGCGTTTTTGGTATAATCAGCTTGGATTTCTCTAATCGCGATATTTCCGCCTCAATTTCTTCCATTATTGATTCACTGTCAGTGATGGATGTCGCTATTAGCAGAGATGAAAAAAAAATATAATAATATTTTGTCTTCATTATCATTATTAACATTACTGCTGTTGTCTTTATTTTCATAATCATTGCTATTAGTAACAACAACAAATTAAATGGGGCTTGCCAGGCCAGAACAGCATCAGTGACCAACACAAGGAAATTGTCTTTTTGCTATATATTTATATTCTCCATATAATAAGCTTTAAAATTATTGATCATTTACTGGAATCGACTTCCTACTGCCAAAATTATGTTAAATATTACAGCTTCTCTGTACTAAAGTATACAATAAAGCCACATTCTTATGCTAATTACATTTTAGTGACAGTACGTTGATTTTGGGATGGCATGCCTCAAATAAACTGGCCAGTATTTTGCAGTGTATAGTATTGGTAGAGACAGCAGGTAAAGGAAAATACACAATATAGTGCTCTCTATAAACTATGTCTCATAAAAAGGCTTAGGGAATGCAGTTGTTCTTGGTCGTGAGCAAAAAATTCTGACACTTGGCAGCACTTGAACTCATGACCCTGGAATTGAAAGGCAAGCATCTAACCACCACGATACAGCACTACTCCATTACAGAAACTTTTAAAACCAACAAATATAAAAGAATTAATTCATAAAATTAACCTTTAACTTTTAACCTTTCAACTAACTATTTGTCCACACAGTCAGTGGCCTCACTCTACTACTGTGTAGGCAGTGACTCTTATCATCCCAAATCATTCAAAATATCATACTCATCCTATTCTTCAACGACTTGACTTTCTAATCAATCAATTCTCGGCATTTCTCAAAAGTATTTGTCATGAAATTTAACATTTTACTTTTTATAATTTCCTGCATTAATTATGCAATGTCACACATAACTCATTTTAAGAGACTATAAGTCCTCATACCTCCTAATAAAAATAAAAGAATATGGCAATAAAAAATTAAAATTACTTTAATCATGGTTACAAATATTTTCTAGTCATCACAGTTTAGTGAATGTATGAATGATTTTCGATGAAAAGATTACAAACTTGGCAAAAATAATGCAGTAGTAAAAAAAAATGTGAAAATTATGATTTTTTTTTTAGCTTCTATCAATAAAAATGTGTTACGAAGATCGCGTGAGTCAGATTTTTGAGGTCGTATGCAAATTTACTGAGATTCTCATGCGTATGAGAGGAAGATATTACGAATGAGTGATTGACAAATGGATATGACGAAGGAAATGAAACAATCTCGACTTAATAAAGGATCATTTAAAACTATCTTCACAAGATTTTCCTCACTCTGGCCTTGTGGTCATCTTCTTTTAAATCGCTTTGCCGAAATATAACGTAAAACATCCGGATAAAGCATCTGTTTCATGTACAAGTTTGTCTGTCTTAATGTGGACTAATCTAAACTTGGAATTTGTTCATTCTTACTAAGAAACAAAAAAAAATTATAGATCAAAGATAAAAATTCCAAGGGTAATGTGATTTTATTTTATATGTCTACGCTTGATTTTAGGATAGTGTAGACGGAAACAATACACCCCCACATGTACATTTTCAGCGTTTATAACCAGGTTCATAAGAGTAAGTCATTACAATGTTTTGGCTGGATTATGTTTTTTTCATTAAATTTAGTACCAAAAACTTGACAGCAAGCCAGAATTTACCATTTTGTCATACATTATAAACAAACTTGAAATATGAAAATGTAAATATAATCAATTGACAACTTTAAAATTCTAGGCAGTCATACTTGCCCTGGGCAAGTCATTCTTGCCCTCAGCACTTGTCAAGGGCTCTCAGCAATTGATACTACTGTACTAAAAGTGTAGCCTGTCTAAATAGGATGAAAAAAGCAGTTGCAAAAATGAGAAAAAAAAATACTCTGTTGATTTGTGAGGAAATTTGGTAAACCTTTGAGATGAGTCAGATATTAGGGTGTCTCTGGCTAATTATGGCAAAACCTTTAAATATTAAATAAAAAAATAAGCCATTTTTCGATATAAGAAGAAAGAAATTTAGTCTGGATGGCAAAGGTTGTCAAAATAAATTCATTTCCTGGTCAAATTAAACCACAAGCTGATTTCTGTACGGAAAAAAAATGTATTAATGTCGGGAGGGCAAAAGTGTTAGTCATAATATGAAGTTTGCTATTCTCGAATCTGTTTGTTCTATTTTCGCCACGTCCAATCAGAAGCCATGATTCATGACATGAATTACAAGGTCCCTTCCTATACAGTGGGGTTATCCTGACATGACACGAAGCTGGCTTTCCCGCGAGAGGATGCTGTTTTCATTTGTTCGTTTCTTCACTGCCGTTTAAACCGTTTTGCATGACACACTCGCAAGCTGCTGGTCCAGCTTCAAGAATTCTTTATTAACTTCTAACCTATCCGCAAGGAATACATCCCGGTGTTATTTTGCGATTGTTTTTTACTTTGAAATTTGTTAACAATGGCTATGTTCAGGCGAGAAGTTTCTGCTCGAGATTTAAATTACACGTCAACAACTGCGCAATAACGCGACAAATAAAAGATTGAGGTGAGTTCTATTTATAACACAGCCCTTTAGTCATTGTAAACATGGTGTATGTATCCGCACTTCCAACATGCTATAAATAGGCCATCTCTTCCTTTAATAAAATCCATATTTCAAATGTTATCTGCTTAACATCTAGTCATTCTTTATAATCAAAAAACACATCAACTATAGAAAGAAAGAATGGTAGCAGATGGGGAATAGTGGGTAATGGGTGAGTAAATGGCGGTCTTATCTGTGTCCACCACCACCAGAATGACCCCACTGGAAATAAGTCTTCATCAGACTTTCATGGGTTATCCTTGGTGTTTACACCGAATAAATCCATCCATCCATGATTAGGAAAATTGATTCTCATAAATTCATTCACTGGATCGTTCAATATAGTATATAATGGTTCAGTAAAGAACACTCTGAAACGAGTAGTTTGAAACATGCTTTACTATGATTATGTTGCAACTAAAGCCACAGTCGCCACAGTAGATGTAAAACAGGGAAGATTTTACCGAGACCGTAGGGAACATTTTAATGGGTATATCTTACAGAGGTTCGCACTTGGATTAAATGACGCGGTTAGTTTTACCATAAGGTATGGTAAAACCGAGAAGTTAAGGCCCAACAGAGCGGTAAAAGTCATAAACTTCAGTGACTCAGGAAGTTTAACCGACTCGCACTGTTCGCACTCGACTTTTCGTCTCAGTAAAACTAGCTCGGTTAGTTTTCCTGGGGAAATGGGATTCAGCTAAAATAATGTATGGCTCAGGTAAGCTACCTGAGAGGTAAGTTACCTGAGTTGTTCACACTGGACTTTGGTTGGCTAATCAGCAAGTTGGGTTAGTTTTGCCGAAATATGTCCCGTGTGATTGCGGCTATTAAATAAAAGCAACTATGGAAATAACCCAGGGACTGAATGACCATCACCATGATTCAATGACACCTAGTGGCCTTGAGCTTGAAAACTGACCAATAACCACAATCAGCAAGGAGAGTAACATGGATTATAATTGGGACAAATAATTAAGTCACAGCAAGTGGCACTCAATATAGGGGTATGCAGGGCTACTTTGGGTAGTTTCTGCTGTAAGGCATGTTGATGATGTTGAATAATGTTTGTTAGAATTCCAGTAAACTACTCAATTGCTTAACAATTTAACCTGGGGTTCACCTATACACACTACCATCTGTAGTATTTATTGTGTTATAATAATGATTACTGACTTAATCCACTTTTTTTATATTCTCCGCTAAAAAATTCATTAAATCCTCAAATGTGTGTACAATAATAATGCTGCATTGTAAAATATGTAAGCTAAAAATAGGAAATTAAAAAATGCATAATTCAATCACAACAAATAACACCATTCGTAATCCCTTCAACACAGATATATGGCATTACCATTCACATCCAAAATAATTTCTTGAAACATTCTGTGTAACTTTAATTTGGGTTAAGCCACATATAAATATGTAGTAACTGTTAATTTGTGATAAGTGTTTGGTTCTCCCAACTGAGAATAAACCGACTGAATGTGTACTCCCCCACCCCCTGTGCAACTATGAATGTTTCTGAATCCCCGAAGGTTGCCAATTTCAAGGAAAGCACTAGTCTATACTTTAAATGTACCCCCAAGAGGCCATGAGCTACGATGGTGAAAACCAAGCTTAGCAGCAACCCATCCCTAAGGGCCTTACTTTCGAAGGTGAAAGTTGATCTATGTATAATAACTCCTGAGGCAAGGCATTTCAAAGTTAAACTGCAGTGCGACCAAGCTCGCCTTAGGCTGGGGATGTACCATGACTGCTCTGTGAAATTCAGAATCTGTTCATTTGGGACTGGTAAGATAAATGCGACTGAGATTAGAAATGCTAAAAAACATATAAGATTCAAATTAATTACTTCATAAGGTTTTGCAATGTCATTCTCAATAGCAAGGTGAGAAAATTATTGGGGTTAAGAATGTCACTGCGTGGGAACCTGAGATAAAACTTGTGGTTACATAAAAAAATTTACTAGACACTTAGTTCAAATTTGCAGCAAAACCCTAGATTTCTTAGTCATTACAAATCATGATAGTATAAACTGCTATGATAATGCAGGTTGGATGTAAAGTAATGTTATTAATACATACTTTCTGTAATCCCTAGGCTCTTTAGGGACTGAAGTATCATGCGAAAATTAAGTCTACATACTGTTCCCTGTGAGAGTACATTATTATTTCTCAAATCTCAGTATAAACAAATAGGTAACTCCTTTACATAGCAATCTACCGTATATACGTATTTGCATATAAAGCGTCATTTACATTAAACACGATAAGGACACGGCGACGAGATATCATTGCGTTGTTTATATTCTTCAACAGTAAACGCACTTTTATCGTGTCGGTTGTCATGTCTTTATTGTGTCTAGTGTAAATGGCGCTTTAGACGAAGCTTAAAATATCAAATTACAATCGAGAATCTGGGTG